TTTAAATATATCAGAGTTTCAAACTTGAACTTAACCGTCAGATTAAATAAATTTATATATTGATTTGAATAGTTTAATAGATCAAAATTAATTGCAATTGTAATGGCTTTATAAACACGTATTTTATTTTTAAATTTTTTGTTTGTACAGGCAGATAATATAAGGATTCGAGGCTAATATGGGTATATAAAAAATATAAAACTACAAGCCAGCTGACAGAAGAAAAACTGTCTTTATTTTACGACTCAAAGCGAAGATAAACGAATAAAAGTTCAGCACTTCCTGACGTCCGGCACTATTCCACACTCGGCGTAAGGATCGGTGGTCTTTGCCTCCTTTTTGGCGCAGGGTGGGCACTCCACGCAGCACAGATCGTCCTTGGGAGTGGCCTTCAGCAGTCCGTCGATGTTCTCCCCCTTTGGCGTCTTCAGATTTGTGCCGGAATTCACTCTGGCCGGCACTTCATTCATCTTGGTTTTGGACGACGTCTTGGGCAGCGAGTATTTGGCCGCATCTGGCGGATTGGGTCTGCCCCAGAAGTCCCGCGGCACATCCCAGATGATCAGCGATCCGTCCGTGCTCCCAGTGACGAACATGGTCATGCAGGGACTGTATGCGCAGCTGATCACCGAGGAGGCGTGCTCGGAGCCCAATCCCACCACGGCACCACTGTTGTAGTCCCAGAGTTTGACCTGCAGATCGCTGCCCACGCTGATGAAGTAGTCGCCAGTTTCGTTGATGGCGAGGCAATTAACCGATGACTTCTTGGAGGCAGTGAGTTCCCGGATCAAAGCGCCATTGTACACCATCCAGTAGATGATCCTGCCGTCCGAGCCGCAGGTGATCACTTGGACTCCGGTCGGAAAATACAAAGCAGACATAAATTGCGCGTTGGCGGTCACCACTTGTTTGCGAGTCATACGTCTGTCGGGGATTATGTATAAGATTAATAATTTAAATAATAATGATTGTTTTTAGTTTTAGCTTACTTGATATCCCAGATCACACAAGAGCCATCGGTGCAGGCGGATATCACTTCAGTGTCTAGATAATTGATATCCAGCGAGGTTATGGGTCCCGAGTGATCCTTCAGCACACCCAAGAGATCCTGGCGATAGGGGTCTATCTTCCAAACCCTCACTTGTCCCTCAATGCCGCCCGTGATAATAAGACGACCCGTGGAGGCCACGGCTAAAGCACTGCATCCTAGTATTAAGTATTAGGTTCTAAGTAGATACGTCTTAAATGCAAAACCCATATATACTTACCTTTGTTATGCGCATTGGGAATAGCATAGATGAGCCTTCCGGTGATAGGAGTAAAGGCTCGAATGATTCCATCGTTCCATACGGAGACAATACTGGTGCCATCGTGGGTAAACCGAACGCAGGCGCAGTTGAAGTTGTAGACCATGATGCGGAGCAGCTCTTGTTTGCGACTCGAAGACCAGATTCGGATGCACTCCTTGCCAGAGGTGGCAAAAACTCCTGAGTAATTTCTTTAAGGGAAAAGATAAAATATATTAATATATAAAGTTGCAAAAATGTAATAGTTTATAATCCAATTTGACTAGCTCCTATTTATAGGGAGAATATTGTAACTTCCTTTTTAATTTAACATTAATGTCAATTTAAGACAGATTGTCTCAGCTTTTTCTATACATATTCTGAAATCACAATGCGTAAAAAGGTCTTTCGGCAGATATACGATCTAGATGTGAGCTACATGTTATCACTAAAACCATTATTCTTAAATCTTAAAAAGTAACTATTTCGCAAATACTGTACTTACTTTGGAAATGTGATGCTGTAGACCGACTTGGTGTGGCATGTTCGCAGTAGTTTCAGCACCCAGGTCTTGATATTAAGTCCGTAGATCTCGTTCGTGTCGGTGCAAATGTAAAATGATTCCGGCTTGGAGCGCACAAAGGATGAAATCCTTCCTGACACATGAGTCTTCTTCAGGGTGCGCAGATATGGCCACGTGGGACCTGGATAGTCCCTGAAGTTAATTAGCGGCACATCGGTTCGCTCCTCCACTAGCTCGATGTCCCCATTTCCAGCTCCAATTAGCAAACGTCCTCCTTCCAGGACATACAAAGCTCGAACGCCGTTCACATAGCGATTGCAGTCCCTGCCAGATGGCTTCCGGGGATTGTGGGTGCCAAAGGCTCCCAGGATGCAGCTGGTGGAGCCTTGCTTGCTCACATGATCGCGATCGCAGCAGTTAAGGACGATCTTCACGATGTCACCTGTTCCAGTGCCCAAATAGGCAAACTCATCCGTCTTATTAATGCGCGCACAGTAGAAAACCCTTGTCTTGCTGGCCATCAGAACGTCCTGGACATACAGCTTCTTCTCCTCGCGCAGAATGCTCCACAGGCGCAGATGCCGATCTCCGGCAGTTATAAAAAAGTACGGATTATTGTGCAATGGTCGGACGGTCAATGCATTTCCGGATATAGCCCTCGATGCGGGTGTTTGACAAATGGGAGAGCTAGAACAAAAACAAGAATGATTATAATTAAGGTAACGTTTACGATTTAGTCACCCACAATGCCTCCATGTCGAAAACGATGACAGATCCATCATCCACGCCTCCGATGGACACCACGCAGCGATCCTGGGCCGTAAAACATATGGCCTGCACGGAGACCTTGTGCAGATCATGTCGGGAGATCTCCTTGCGCTGATCGTAGTCCCAGATGATCACATAGCCCCGAAATCCCATGTGGTTTATCTGCCCGGAGGCCATGTATTTGCCACTCTTGCTGAGATCCAGACATGATATTGTATTTGTATGTCCCGCTACAAACTCCTGGGTGTTTTTCTTATAGTCAGCGATACCTATTTTGTTTCCAAGTGCAAAGATAATGGATCCCGTCACCGGATGCTGGCGCACTCCATTCTCCACTTTTCCGTTGATCCCAAAGATTGCACGCGGGAGCAGTTGTCTGGTTTCCTGGGCATCTCCCATTTTCACAGGATTATAGTAAAATATATGACTCCAAATGTAACATATAAGGGATGTTGTTGTGTCGGTTTCGTGCGAAATGCTTTGAAGGTTTTAAGCCGGCTTGTTTTCTGTTTGAAAACAAGATATTACAAATTTTATTCAGCGACCGTTGCCTGGTTGCTGTTGCTAGCCAAGGATAATATTATTTGTTAAGTTATTTAAGCCAATATGTATATATAGCATTTTATTTATCATAGAAACATATGATTACAAATTTAAGAAAGAATTTATATTGCTTAAGTTAAATCAGTGGATGGGGGTTGGATTAGTTGTCAACTATTTAAAAACAAATTTAAAATGTTACCGCAATTAAAAGTTTTATCAAAACGACTAATATTTAAATTTTGTTTTGTAAGTCACCAATGGGCTTCTTTACTTGAGTGGTCGCTTGGGAACAATATTGTTTCAGCTTGCTCACATTAAGCGAGAAGCAGTTTCTGTGGACACGAGCTTGCATTTCCATCTCCTTTTTAATGAGATCCTCCATGGCGGCGTATTTGTCTGCCTCGATTTTAAGATGCGCCAGCATTGCCATGTTCTAAAATAGTTTAAACAAAATCGAAATGAGCAATAAAAATTAATTTCAATTATAAGGCAGACTCATAAATCGAAACCGGATTATCAGAAAAAAACATTTTTAAGCCAATAAATTTTTTGAGGTAAACACGATGAGTTTTTTTTTTTTACCTTTACTTACATATCGTCCATTAGCTCTGGTATTTAGACAATTTTATACTATAGAAAATAGCCTTATGACTGTACCATTTTGTTTTAACCTTCATATTAAGAATTTGGGGGACGAGGACACTCCAAAATATTAGTTATCTGTTAAGATATGATTGAGTAATCAAATTTGAAGAGGCTTTCTTAAATTATAAGTAACGTAAATGCTATTGCTGATCGAGCGAATTGGTAGTGTCAACTATAATCATTATGTTCAATTGCGACAAGGCCTACAAGATGATTCCGATCCCTTGTGTAATAGTTACCTCCCGGTATTTTGCCTTTAGCTCCTCCAGTTTGGCTGATTTCTGCTCCTCCTCCTCGCTGGTAAATTGATTTTCAAAAAACATATGCTCCGGATGCAGAACATGCGATGGCACGTGAAACACCTTCCTGTCCAACTCTCTGATGGCTTTGAGTCCCTTGGAAGCGGATGCTTGGAAACGACGCTCAACGGTTTCCTTTTGGGCCTCCAATAGATCCGCTGTTGCCGGGGTTTTTATCCTGTCTATGATCTGTCCTATGCCCTTCTTAATGATGTCCTGCACAATGTGTTCGCCTATAAAATGCAATTATGATACATAACGCTACCCATTATACTAAATAAGTAATACGGACGCTCTGCTGAAAGTTGTGCCGCTGTGAAGTTAAAATACTTCTGGTCGTAGGTACTACTATTAAAGTCCATTGCGCGGGAACGGTACACTTTTATTTAAGGAAAATTATATTCAAACTGTATTCTGTACAAACAATAAACAAATAATCGCGCAACTTGATAAGTGTTACCGTTCTAGGATAGCAAAATAATGGAACCACTTCAACAGTGCTGCCAAATCTAGCTACAAAAAAAGTTAATTAAAAAAGCTAAAAAATAACATTAAATTTAAATTCGTTAATCACAATTTAAGAGCTTGTTAGAGGTTTAACTTCGAGCTATATAATATGCAACTCCTGTTCTGTATAGCTATTGGCTTTACTCGGGTTGACTTGAAATTTGTACAGAACATTCTCAACATATTGTTGATTCAGAAAAAAATGAATATATATATAGTTCAAAATCCTGACAAACAAATTAATTTTAGAAAGCAAACGACACCAGAGTTAAAATTTGGTATTGGAATGGTGGCAGATACGCTGATTTTTTCGTGTTTTTGTCGTTTTTCCCTCCACTTCCATTCTTTTCGCCAGGGTCTGACAAACATTCATCGAGACGTCTGGCAACGCTCTGCACATTTCTAGTATTTTTCCGTCGATGTGACGATCCGACGTACTCCACTGTGCACATCTGTTTATCCCGTCCCCCAATTTTCTTTAAAAAGCTCGTACAACATGATTATACATTTGTATTTTGGTATACCCTTATCTGTGAAATTCTTGAGCCGAACTCATAATTAAAATTTGGTATACATACCCTTATATGAGAAATGCTTGAACCGAACTCATAATTAAAATGTTTCAGTTTTCATAAAAAAGCATAGCAGTAAAGTCAAAGAAATTATTTGCTCTAAATTTACTCATTTAGGTGAAAATAACCTTCTACTTACCTTAAAAAGCTCATCTGAGTCCTTGGTGATTAACCAATCAACCTAAGAAATGGACGAAAGTGGCGAATTTAATTTAGTTTTGAACCGCGACTGCCTCTTGCAGATAATGAAATACGTAATTACTGGTTGCGAATTAAAAGAACATTGGAACAAAATGTTGAAATATGATGATTTAATAAACTTTGTGTTGGCCCATGAAATGTTCCTGGATTTACTTGAGACTTATCACAAACGTCTGTACGAGGTTCTTGATTTGTTTCTTACGTGTAGGATAACAAAGCTACTAATAGATCTACGAGTTAATAAGTCGTCTAAAAGAAATGAATTTTTTTGGATATCCTACCTACAATCTATCAGAGAAAAAGATCCTTTCTATGTTGAACTACATTTTAAAAATAATGTGAACGATAAAAGCATGGTTTACGTCAGTATTAATAAAAAAAGTAAGTCTTAATTTGAAAATACATTTGTAATAACAAAAATTATTCAACCAAATCAAAAATTATATTACCTCTAATTTAAAGCGGCAAGAGAGCAGGATTTTATCATGGAGTGCGTCAAGTTTGATGTTGATGTTGCTGCAAAAGATTTATATGACATCTGCACCAGGATCCCAAACTTGAGTAATTTAGAAGTTGAAGGCACTAAAATCCATGGAATACTTGCTGATATCGGACGCCATTGCAAAGATCTTCAGGTGCTGGCAGTTCATCTAAGCCCGGAAGGCGGGGCCGCCCAATATTCATCACTGGTATTGTTGCCCAATTTAAAATTTTTTACTATATCTGGAGTCCAAGAAAGCGGAGCGCAATTGCTATTTTTTGATGATTTAAGAAAATTGCATAGACCTAAAAGTTTACCACCTTTGACCCTGTTTATCACAGATCACTTAAGCAATAAAGGTCGGTATATTACGTTACCGACTTTTGACTCTTTGCATTCTTTCAACATAAGGGAAGATGATCGATCAAATGATATATGTGTTACAGCACAGTTCGATTTCTGTGAAACAACGGAAGAAAGTAATTTAATTGAGGAATCCCTAGCAACCATACCTTTAAGTAAACAAACCTTAATTGAGTTTAACAGAAATAAAGCGAAACTTAAGTTAAATATACATAATGATTCGGACATTGGCGAAATGGGTTCCTTATCAAAGCTGCCCAACCTAAGCCGATTGACTATATATAACAAACGTAATAATTTTAAAGATCCCAAGCCACTGGCAAAATTCCTCCAATCAATGATCCCAAAAAAGTCATTCGCTTTGAAATATATTTTAATAAATTATATATCAATAGATCAATTAGAGGCCGTAGAACTTGCGAAAATAGAATCTATTCGATTTCTGGCTTGCCATTTGTCCGAATGGTATTCCATGAAGTTTTTAAGTCAGCTAAGAAACCTGCAACACCTTGTTATTAATGTCCGCGAGTCCATTAATTCCCATACATCAGAGCAACTTTTTGACTTGCTAATTGCAGGCCAGGGGCAAGCTACCATAGCTTGCAAAGATTTCACCCTTAGAAAGAATGAAAAAAAGATGCAAATTTATAAGCGGCCATCGTATGCAGAAATTAACGACGTCAATACCGTCGAGACACGAGACCTTCCAATTAATGAAACACTAAATCCACTCTTCCAAGCTTTCGCCACCAGCAATTTGAGTACGATCGAAGAATTTCATATAAGTGGACTGATAAATATATGTTTTAAGGATATCTCAAAAGTGGCAGAGATTCAAACCATTAAGAAACTGTCGTGCTCCCTCTCAGAGCTATCTGGAATTGAGAAATTGGCTGGGCTCAATAATCTCCAGGATTTGGATATATCCGGAAAAGGAAACCTTACCGCACTTTTCACAAAGCTGGCTGAGAAGAATATACTTCAACGATTTCGATATTCCGAAGAACTCGTTCCTGAAGAGGTTATAAGGGTTTCCCAAATAAAGTCGCTAAAAAAACTGGAGTGCAGTTTTTCGGACTGGGAGGACTACCAATCCTTGTCAGAGCTAGCTAACTCGAATGTTGAAGAATTAATTGTACTGATACTAAGTCCAAGCTATTCCCTAAAAAAATTTTTTGGAGCGTTTTCTTCAAATAGTTTAACTAGATTGCAGCACCTGGAAGTTGAACACAACCCAAGTAATTTTAAATTACCACGTAGAGCTCTAAACATTGCAGAAATGTCTGAAATTATTGGAATAAAAGGTTTGAAAGTGTTACGTGCAGGATACTTAAATTCAGAATGTTCGCAAATGTTAGATCGATTACCCAATCTACAGCACTTGATACTTGAACATTCTACTGTTATTGATATGAACCCTTTGGAAAATATATTAAGGGTTTTAGTACACAAATCGCCGGCAACACTTCAAAAATTGGACTTGAATAATATCTTAATTGGATTCAATGAATGTAATTATTTGACCCAACTTGAAACATTGGAGTCTTTAAAATGCAATTTACGCAAAGAACCTGGTTTAGAAGTTTTGGCAAACATTAAAAATCTTAAAGGACTAATAATCTGTGAGGCACAAGACTCGCTCACTGAACTTTACCGGGCTTTTGCTCTTAGAAGTGACTCAATTCTACAAGAACTTCATACACCAATTACATGTAATGAAGAAATCTACGAAATATCGCAAATAAAGTCACTGCAAAAAGTTGATATTAGCTACAAACGCTTATGTAGCAACTTATCAGAGCTGGGAAAACTAATTAAACTTAAATCATTGTGTATATATAAATTGTTTTTTTCCCATTTATATATAAATAGTCTGTTGCCGATGTTTGAATCTTGTCAAAAGCTCGATTACGTCACATTGAAATTTCGTCGAGAGGAGGTAGATACAAGCACGGTCATTAAAATTTACACCATTTTAAAATCTGTAAGGAATCCTGCACTTCAGAGACCGTTAAAACTTACTCTTATTGAAGAAAACTTTATCCCAAACATCAACGTAAGTATTGCGATGACCCATCGTCCGGCGATTAAAAATGTTTTTTTATTTGCAGGTAGAAGACATTGACAAAGCATATTTAAACGTCTCCTATAAGTATGAAATGTTCAGCCATAAATTTAATAATAGTGGATTTGTGTTGAAAAATAATTTGGATAGGTTTACAAACGCAGTTGATTGGAGAAATTAAATAATGGAAAATACAAGTTAAACATGAATTCGATATACCATTATTTGAGATCACTTATCATTTTAACAATAAAACCAACAAGAGTTACATAAAGCAAATCAAATTTCAACTTTTTTTCTGCAAACTTAATCGCAGTTGATCATGTTAAATTAGGATTCCGTAATCATAAGCCACTTACTTATGATGGATAAACTATAGAATTTGCACTATTTAATACTCTAGAAAATTACTTTTGTAGTCTCTTTTATTTCAATATTTTGTTTTAAAAGCTGTCCCTTAAAATTAGAAAGCCCTTTGAGGCGCTTGGAAGCGGATGTTTGGAAACGACGCACCACGGTTTCTTTTGACCCTCCAAAAATTTTGCTGGATTATGCCTTTTCTGCAAAATGTGTTCGTCTATATAAAGAAATTACCGGGTAATGGCAATTTTTAAGGAAAATTGTTTGCAAAGTGCACAAAAAAAAATAAACAACCGCAAAATTCAATTAGAGTAACCGTTCTTGGAAAGCAAAATGATGTTACCACGTCAACAGTGCTGCCAAATCTAGCTACTAAATGAAGATTCATTACAAAAGCTAAAAATTCGATAAAGTAGCAAATCTTTGAGCATGTTTTGCAAACTGTACTTACACTTACATATATTTTTTGAACCTACATTATTCACAAAAAGCTTTATATATTATAACTTTAAGTTGTTTGACACGCGAGTAATACTATTCTGAATAGCTATTAATATTTCTATGAACTGTAGATTCCGAAATAGCTGCTCAGCTTTAAAATCTTTTTTTGATGGGAAGGTAACCTCTTTAATTTAAAGAATCAAAAAACTGAAAAAAATTGTCAATAAATCAGTGTCAAAGTTGATTTAAAATTTTTTTTTAATTTTTTGAACATGGACTACAATAGTTTGTTTACTTAACATTAAAAATGTTAATTTATTACACTTTATTAAAATCATTTAGATTATTTTTGATGCACTTGCTAACAATCAATATTAATGATAAGCGGTCATTAAAAACAGTCCGTATAAACATAAAGAACACCCCTAATGTTTTTGTTTTGCTTTAGCCGGCTTTGCGAATATAGCGAGAACTGAATAATCAGGCAAGTGCGACACACATAACGGTGCCTATATAAATAGCTCACACCACTCTTTAGTCGCTATTTACAGTTCAACGGTGAACGGCATTCGATCTAATCAGATTCCACAGTTACTGGAACTTCCACTTGACCCGAGCAAACAAAGGAGACAAATATGCATTTTATTGGGGGCGTTCCGAGGCCTCTGGGGCTGGGACTGCTGCTCCTGGGACTGATTGCGCCCATCTCGGGGCTTGGATTTCGACGCGGAAAACTGGACAGGGGGTTCCTGGGGGAGCCCAGTAAGATACCAACACTGCAGAGATCCCTGGAGTCCGAGGATCTCTGGTTCGAGCAGAAATTGGATCACTTCAAGGCGAGCGATGGGCGCACCTGGCAACAGCGGTACTTTGTGAACGCCGACTACTACCGGAATGACAGCTCCGCACCCATCTTCCTGATGATTGGTGGCGAGGGAGAGGCATCCGCCAAGTGGATGCGGGAAGGAGCCTGGGTCCATTATGCCGAACACTTTGGAGCCCTCTGCCTGCAGCTGGAGCACCGGTTTTATGGAAAGAGCCATCCCACAGCGGATCTGTCCACCGAAAATCTACACTATCTGAGCTCCGAGCAGGCACTGGAGGATTTGGCCAGCTTTGTGACCGCCATGAAGGTGAAGTTCAATCTGGCCGATGGCCAGAAATGGATCGCCTTCGGTGGCTCCTATCCGGGATCACTGGCTGCCTGGGCCAGGGAGAAGTATCCCCAGCTTATCTACGGATCCATCAGTTCCAGTGGACCCCTATTGGCCGAGGTTGACTTTCGGGAGTACTTCGAAGTGGTCAAAGCATCGCTGGCCGCCTACAAACCGGAATGCGTGGAGGCGGTGACCCGCAGCTTTGCCCAGGTGGAGATCCTTCTCAAGCACATGATCGGGCAACGCAGTCTGGATGAGAAGTTTAAGTAAGTAATGGAAATGGAGTTTTTTTTAGCTCCGTATTCCTCTTCTTAACTTTGAAAGATAACTTTACTGAGTTGGTGTAAACTGCTCTAATTGTAGGACCTGCACTCCCATCAAGGATTCCATTGAAAACGACTTGGACATGGCCAATTTCTTTGAAAACCTGGCTGGAAACTTTGCCGGCGTGGTTCAATACAATAAGGACAATAGTCCTCATGCCACTATAACCATTGACGACGTGGGTGTTTCACGATACGAACATTTCTTAACTTTAGTAATCTATCTACTATTCATTTCAAACTTACAGGTCTGTGATGTGATGCTTAACACCACGGTTGGACCACCTGTGACCCGTTTAGGCTTAGTGAATGACATGCTATTAAAGGAATCAAACACCACCTGCCTGGACTACAAATACGAGAAGATGATAGCAGATATGAAGAACGTGTCCTGGGATTCGGAGACGGCCAAGGGAATGAGGCAGTGGACTTACCAAACCTGCCATGAGTTCGGCTTCTATCAGACCTCCGACAACCAGGCAGACACCTTTGGTGGTCGCTTTGGCGTGGATTTCTTTATTCACCAGTGCATGGATGTGTTCTCCAAAAACATGGACGCAAAGTTCTTGGATCTGGTGGTGTCCGCCACCAATGAGAATTATGGTGCGCTCAAGCCAAAGACTACAAATGTGCTGTATGTGCACGGTTCTATTGATCCCTGGCATGCTCTTGGATTGGTGAAGACTTCGAATCGTTCACTTCCCACAATTTACATAGAAGGTATGGTTTGCTATATAATATAAATGCAATATCAAACCCTTTGTTATTCTGCACCTGTTGTTAAGCTTACTAACGTAAACAATATTTTTTCCCCCTCTAGGAACTGCTCATTGCGCCAATATGTACGAGCCGGTGAAAACCGATCCACCTCAACTGGTTGCCGCTCGTAATAAGATCCTCAAATTCTTGGCCAAACTGCTGGAAGGCTACACCTCAACCCCAATCTGAAAAGTCAGCTGAAATTTTGGATTCGTCAGCGATTTGTTTTATTTGTTTGCTTTCGCATGAATATATATTTAATATAATTTTTTACTCCGCTGGGAGTTAATCCTTCTTGGCCTGCTCCATTTTCTCGTGGAATCGCTTCCAGTAGTGCTGCACCGTGGCGTTCCGAATGATGTTGTGTTCGACAAAGTTCAGCAGCCAGGTGCCGGTGAGGTAGGTCAGGTCATAAATGAAGGCCACTACGCGAAAGAAGTATTTTTCCGCCTGCTGCTTGCTGGGCATATTGGACATGATGTCCTGCAGCTGCTTGGCTGCCGCTTCCTTGGCCTCCGCTGCCTTCTTCTGGGCCTCGCTCTTCTTGTCCTCATTTGAGGATCCCGATCCCTGTTCGGTGCCCTTGCTGCGAACGATGCTGTCTAGGGGATCGGCCCTGCCCATTTTTCCATCAGAGCTGACTATAGAAACGGACGGCGACATAGCCACCGATGTGGTTACATCTTTCTGGGTGCTGTTTTTTGGGTTATTTTCGAAGGAGCTGCTTCCGGGGATACCAGTGGAGCCGGGAGCCACGAAGCCAGGGGACGTGGTTTTGGGTTTGTCACCATTGCCATCTCCAACTGAAAAGCAGCGAGCTGGGCTTACAATCACAGCACGCGGATACGCTGCATCGCCGTTCAACAGCTTCAAAATGGAGTAATCTTTAAGACATAAGGGGGCAATTTAGTCATAATCCTGTTTTCAGATCCACGTGCTCTTGACTTACCCCTGTTGTTGGCCAGTGATCCTGCCACCGACCGATTCCATTTGGCCAAAAATGTTGTGCGAATCATTTTCCAAGTTTTTTTGTGCGGCGAATGCAGATTTAAAGTTATTCACTGGCGTAACAATGACAATTTCACCAAACGAACAAAATCCAAAATGCCTGACAGCTTTCAAACAGAAAATGAAGGCATCCTAACAGAGTTGCCAGAGTTGAATCTCTTTTCAAAGAAACCTCTATTTTTTAGAGGTTAGAACGCTTTTAAAGTGCTCGAAAACGTAATCATAAAAATTTATATACAATATTATTTTAATTATATACATTTAAAAAATAAAACATTCAGAATTCATTTAAGGCAATCTAATATATTTCGCTGATAAAAGTAAAACAGAAAAACAATGACTTGTGTTTTTTATAAATGGTCTTTTATTTAGGCTATTACTAAACATATTAGTAAGTTTACTAGTTACATTGTAGGGCTTACAACTCCAGGCCTAGGTTCACCTTAAATAACGCTGTCAAACTCTTGGCAAAAAAATAAAAGGCAACAGCGCCAGGGCTGCAAAACGTCCGACAAATGGTGAGGCCCAAAAAAGCACCCCTGCACGATACGATCTCGGTGTGCCTCCTTTGGGAATCTCCATTAGCCCGCGAAACTTAACTTAATCCCAAAGAGAGCCGATCGAGTTCGGGGGATAGGATATACAAAACCCATCGGCTGTCATTTGCGTACTTTACATGTGTTAGGCTAATATGTTTAAATTAGTTAACTTACAGGTGCAATTTATTGGACACGGTTAACTAAATTGCAGTTGGTTATTTGTTCCGCGACTACTGGCAACCAAATCGGTTATTAAAATTACGTGGGTCAAGCATGTAAAGCATTTAAAACATATATGGAGAATACGATTACGTATATGTAGGGCGTTAATGTATCGAGTTCTTAGCGTGTAATGGAATTGTTGATGCGCGTTTTCCTTTAATACTACGACGCAAGCTAAATAATGATGATCCTGTGATCCGCCGCCCCTTAAAATAAACCAATTTGTTTCAGATTGTTCTTGATGATCACATCGGTGACGGCGTCGAAGACAAACTTCACGTTATTCGTATCCGTGGCGCAGGTGAGATGCGTGTAGATCTCCTTTTGGTCTTTCCGCTTGTTGAGATTTTCAAACTTCATGCGGATATAGTTGGCCGCTTCCTCAAAGGTATTGGTACCTAAAAGAGTTCGGGATGAATGAATAAATTGCATTTAATTACAATAAACGTATTATTTTACCTGCATACTCCGGAAAGCATATCGTCAGGGGAGATCGCTTGATCTTCTCCTCAAACAGATCCTTTTTGTTGAGGAAAAGAATGATGGAGGTTTCCACAAACCACTTGGAGTTACAAATGGAGTCAAACAGTTTTAGGGACTCGATCATGCGATTCATCTCTTCGTCCTCGGCCAAGACCAAATCGTAACCTGTAAAGTAAAATTTGTTTTAAAATTATTTATTTTCAAACTTATATTTAATGAATTGAATTTCGATACATATGCTCTAAACAGTTATATATAGAGTTTTAATGAATTTAAAAATAGCATAGTATTTTAAATGGTTTTGTTTTAATAATTTTAATACGTTAAATTTAAAACAAAGATTTGTGAAATTTGAATTTACTGCTCGAAAAAATAGCGCTTTGAAAAATATATGATCTTTAAAACTTTTTAGAGGGTTTTATTTACTTAGAAGTGGATAATACAAAGAAGATAAATTTGAATTTAATTAAAACACAATTTATTTCAACTGTTAACAGGCAAAAATCAAACAAAGGCTAAGCAATAGGTAATCATATAAGTCAAACCTGATAGCGCTACGCAGAAGATAATGGCCGTAACGCCCTCAAAGCAATGGATCCACTTCTTGCGTTCCGATCGCTGGCCGCCCACATCAAAAAGTCTGCAAAGATAATAGCCCATTAGATTCAAATAAACCAAGATATGGTTAGCATTTCACAACTCACTTAAAGTGCAGCTGTTTGCAGGAGAAGTGCGTCTCGATAATGCCAGTGGTCTTGACCCGGGTTCGGAGCACGTCCTGCTGGGTGGGTATATAATTTGGCTGCGCGATGCGGTCCAGCGAGTTGAGGTAGTAGCCCGCCGAGTCGTTCAGCTGATATTCACGGGAACGGGCAAAGCTCTGCTGTACACCTCCATCCGCCCACAGTTTCTTCATCAGAAGGACAATTTCCGGCAGCAGGATGCCTTCGTCTGCGGCGGAGGCGTGTGTGAAGAACTGGCGGGCTATGTCCGTCCTGCCGGGATCGGCAAATTCGATCTTTAGGCGGCCCATGGCACGGATGATCACCATCAGGCTCTGCACCGTGTTGCTGAAGACCACGCGGCGGTACTCCTCGCACTCCTCCTGCGAGTAGCCGGTGTCGTGGATGATTTTCATCTGTTTCACTATAGTTGATTTGCCTGACTCGCCGGCTCCTAAAATATATACGGAGAAATATTATTAGTAAAGTGATCTTTTTTAAAGTTAAAGGGCGTATTGTGAATTTGTCGTTTCGAACGGTATGATATAATTGTTAAATTCTTTTAAAAATTCTTCTTTTCTATATATTGATCTAAAAAATTACACAAATCTTCTAAAAAGAACACATATTATCTTATGAAATTACTCATTTTGTTTCAACTGAAGCGAAGTTAACTCATGATAATTTCTTTGTGGGCGTGACATCTTGAAATTCCAAGTTCAGGGCGTAAAACTGAATGAATCGATGTGTTTACGACATTCGGAATTGAAAGGGGTACACATTACAAACTGGAGAACGGAGGAGGAATTTATGAATGAATGAACAAGACGCCACAAAAGTTTCTCAATTGCCAGGGGGTTCAAAAGGCCAAAAAGCTGCCGGTTTACGCTTAATTGCGCTGGTCAAGTAGAAATGAATGAATATCGTATGTATGTACTATATGTATGTACTATATGGGAAATTAAAACTAAAAAAGTCCGATCAGCTACAAATATAAAATATTACTAAATTAATAGTGAATACATATTTCGAAACATTTGAATCAAATAGGTAATTGACATGTTTTATTATTTTGCATCAGATGCAAATAAATACTCGTTTAAGTTATTGTTTTAATTTTCGTATAATTGAACAATCTGAAAAAATTCTTATATTTTACTTTAGAACTCAGCTTCCCTTTCCCTTATAAATCAAATGGTCAAGCCCTTAAGTTCATTGAACCACCCAGCGGTTCTCCAAAGCTATCAAAAGCCGAGGGAACTGGCGGAGAAAATTAAATCGACATAATTTTATTTGCTGAGAGCTTGCAATTGTAAAATGAGACCTGACCCGCGATCGTTAATAAACAAACACAATCGTCTGGTTTGGCTGACCACACAAGTTTATTATCTGTTTCGAATGATAAAAATAAAAAAAATATATAATCACATTACGTGCTTACCAGTTTCCCTTTTCGATGAAGGCAGAAATGAAATAATAGAGAAGATGGGCAAATAAAAAATTGGCAACTCTTGCCGTCGAGCTGCCGGTCTAAGTTTTATTTCAGTTATCAAGCGCTATACGGGTTGTTGGGGAATTGCAACAATGGCGCATTAAGCCGACTTTTTGCTGCAGTTGGGTCCATTCCCAGCCACCGGATGATTAGGTAATTGCCGAAGCTCCCTGACTGAAGCTGACTATACTTTGTGACTATACTTTCACTTTTTCTCCTTTCAGGGCTTGGTACTTGCACTGAAACTAAGATGGTTGCAACTTTTCCTAAATAAATCATCTATATTTAAATCTCCCTTTGGCGGATAGTTCCCTTAAGCAGTCATATTGATCATTCATTTGTTTTACTTAAGTGACCTTTTAACAAATTAGTTTGTTTTTGTTTAAGTAGGTACTTATAACTATAATTATTTTTATTCGATCGATACAAATTTAAAAAGTATATATAACATGTTGTAAGATTGAAAGTTAAGGCAATAGGTCTTTTATACACCATCTATGCAATGTTCCTCAATAACAATTTTCCTTCAATTTTTAAACAAAGTTGAAAGTTGCCAATATACGCTGCTGAAGTCCTAGATTTTAGGTCCCCACAGATTTATCAACAGGCACAAAATATTCTATCTTCACTGTACTTGCACTAAATTACTATTGATTTAGGTTTTTATAAATATATCAAACACTTTCATACATACTTAGTCAATTTTTAATTCCAGTCAATCCACACAATGTGTATTAATTTGCAATAAAAAAAAGTCGTTAGAGAGGATTAAGGGAAGGAGGGAAAGAGACGCATAGAGATAATGGCCAAACAACGGTCGCCACATAATGATGAAATTGACAGATCTGAATACGAATATGGACGTTAGGCGATGTTTAAACTTGCCACTGTGTGGAAAAAAACTAGCAACAAAATCCACAAATGAACGGCAGAAAAAAGGTCAATTTAATAATAACAAAATATGCAAGAGTGTGTTTCTGTGTCTGGGCATTCATTTATCAATGCACCGTTAGCTGTGCCATAACAAGGGACAAAAACCGCGAGAGCGAGCGAGAGGCGAACAATAGGGATAAAGCGAGACGGGTCAGAACAACGGCGGTACGCACAAAGCGATCCGAAAAGCCGGGTTTACAAGCTCATTATCATCGCGATCGTCATGACCAAAGTGCCCCTGCCCAAACGGTATTATAATTAACATTATTAAGCAGTGGATATCAGCGAAGGGAGAGTAGTTGGAGAACCTTTGCAGACGACGTGCTCTTATTTTCTTTTTCGCTTGTTTTTAGTTAATTTTTACCTACAACAAACAGAAACATTGAAATATTTTTATTACAATATTTTTTAAGACAAGTTTTCGTTTCAATAGTATCACTTTTTTGCAACATTTGCAGATAATTAATTCTTCTGTTAAATATCCTTAGCTATGTGAGAAACTATCGAAATATTGTATTTAGAAGCTCGATCCTAACCTACGACATCTATAATTTTATAAATATTTATTTAGCGCACTTGAATTTAGTTTACAATTTAAGCCTAAGATAATTTTGTTTTTTTTGAAACCACAAATGTTCTAAAAAAGTATAATTTAAGCTAATTCTACTGTATTACACTGTGGGTGGGGAACTTTCCAAGGCGTGTGCAACGTAATGCACCAACTAATTGGTTGGGTGATTATTGAGCGTCAGTAGAATCATCATTAGAAATGGTGACTAAAGCCTCCCAGACACATACATATGTACATGCAATGAGTTAAAAAAAACAACAACAGCTAAAGACAGCGAGAGGAGAATCGTAAGAAAGTGTTTGCGCCATGAGTAAGCGAGCTAAATGGCGCCTGAACTCGGTTATCGAAGTGGGAAATGTGTTAATCAGCGTCGAGTGTGAAATTCTGTACTTCTAAAAAAAATAAACAATTAAATCAGATGAAATGAAGCCCTAAAACGGAAATCCTCAACCACCATACTCAAATGACTTTCACGCAAATCTGTCTTATCATGAAATTTTCATCGCTTTCTTATATAAATTACGGTTCCATCAATTATTCAACCGTATATATAGAGCATAGGGCTGTTCGAAATTGACGTATAAGGTCACTTAGCGATAATTTTGATAAGCCAAATTATACTTTCAGAGTGCTCAAGAGCGTTTGTATGTGACTTCTTAAAAAAAAATTGTAGATTAAGTTGCTGTGTTGACAGTCTGGGGTTTCGATTTTCATATTGGTGCGGCAGAAAGCATGACATTATTTTGTTTATATATTATATATTTAAACAGATATACGAGCTGCTTACTCATGCCCCAAATGCGCCTTTGGAACTCTCTTTAGTTCTCTCGATGCAAATATCGTAAAAAACAATACTACACATTCTTTTCCCCTTGAACACGAAATGTTTGGTCTTGTAGACGGGTAAAAAAAAGAAATTCAACTGAAAGTTGTAGTTTTCAATTGAATGGCGTGCAGAAAAGGGAAAGAAGGGGAGAAGCGTAATATAAATTGAGTGTCAGTGGAGGAGCTTTATTAAATCTACACAATAAGCCCAGCGTTGGGGGCTGACAATTCCGATTCCAAATTGAATAGCAGACCCAATGCACAGAAAAAATTTACTTTTTTAAAATGTATTAAACAAAATAATAATTTAAAGTTTTGTTCAGAAAATTTAATTTTAAAAATTCTATTAAAAGGTTATGTAAATTTAAGTCAAGTTTTTTTGTGAAGCTTATCAACAACCAAAATCAAATGTTTTCGTAAATTTTTAATCGAAAGATCCTGTAGAAATTTTTTTTTAAAATTACCATAACATAAAAGGCCTAATAGAGGACTTGTTGGGCAAATAAGAGTATTTTTTATTTAAAATAAGTTTAATTATATATTTTCAGTGCATTTGGCAGCTGCATTTGGTGGCGGGGCCATTTATTTGCGCTAATATCGTTCACCCCACTTGAAATGTCAGCGAACAAATAACAAAGCAGCAACAAAAACACGGCCAATTATTCAGCTTAAAGAGAGGGAGAAACGAGAGAGCGCAGGCGCAACAAACAGCTCAGAGATCAGAGATCGGTTTTCTTTATGATCCAGAAATTACAGAAACTACAGAAATTACGGCACACACAAAGTGCAAACGCAGCCCACAACGACAATAGCAACAATTAAATCAAGTGCAGCAAGCAACGGAAAAAGTTAGTCTGAAATGCAACTGGTGCAAGGTGTTTTTGTCTATCTTCTTGTCTATCCAAACCTGAACCATTTTCACTGGTCAACATGGAATTTGAGCCGCAAACAGCTGGGAAAATATACGATACTGGAGAATCGGAAAGTACACAATGCGGGGATGAAAACTCTAGATATATCCTGCACCTTTCTTAAGTTATTTCCGAAACCGGTTTCCAGGGGTTTACTTAAGTCGGCAAACCAATTTTCTTTTTCATTATCGAGCTCATAAAAACAGTAGTTATTTTCAAAGTAGTGTAGTAGGGGATTTAGGATTTTTGTTTTAAACGACAATGATCAGATTAAATAAAAAAAATATATATACCGGTTTTAATAATATTGTTCCTGTTTGATAACATTTATCAAGTCAATAATTCAGAAAATTCAGAAAAAATGCGATTGTAATCATGGATGGCTGATAGCCAGTCCTCATTGTACTATTTGGCATGCCACTTGTTGCCTTAGTCATTGTGGCTCGCTTCATTAGCAAATCAGCAATGCTACCAACTAAAAGCTGGAGAAAAACCTCAACTGCATTGTTTTCAAAAATGAATGGCAATGAAAATGAAAAGTACACACGCAGGCAGTGAAATATTATCGTTCCCATATCGTACATATGTATACCATCCATTTGGTGTATGGAAATTTAATTGCAGAAGGTTGCAACGCGACGCGGCATTTAATTTCACTGCGTTTGCCGCAGAGGTCGGGTCACTCCAAATGCGATACGATGCACAGTGGTCGAAAAAGACTAATTAGCGGAATAATAACATTCTCAAAAACAATATATATATATTTATATATATATTTCGAAACATTTTTTTTTGTTTTTTTTTTTTATTTTATTAAAAATCTACAAAAAAAAATGTTAGTACTTTTCACGAATACGACTAAATTTCAAGTTATATTTCTTATAACTCTCTTAAAATTAGACTAACAAGTTCTATACGTTTTCCTAGTTTAAACCGTGTGCTTTGCTTATCAAAACAAAAAATAAACTAAATTTTATTTATTTGTCATTTGTTGCTTGTTTGATTGGGTAAATCGACCACTGTACGTTGGCGCCTCGACGCTTGAATGGTTTTTCCTACTAAGCTAAAACCGCTGCACTATCGGAACCACCGACTCCATATCAAACATGTTTCCATTGTGGCGCCCCACTTGTTCGGATCGATCCAAAAGATCTGAAAAGTGCGTGCCAGAAGACGAGAACCGAGAATCGAGAACTGACATTTGGTTTCAATTTACGTTCAATTCCCTTATCGCCAACGAATTATTGGACACACACATTGCATAATGCACACTGTTTGTTTTAGCTTGAAAGAGCCATAAAAACAAAATGTTAAATAAAAACATAAGTATTTAACATTTTTCACAGAATTTAAGTCCATAACTATTTTATTCAAATGAACTTTTAATAAATTTTAAAAACAGATATTAAAAGTTCTTTATATGTTCTAATCTTCCCCTGCTCGTGTAAAAACTGGTAGAAAAACGAGGATACAAAAAATATTGTAGTAATTTATAATAATTTATTTAAAATGTGCATTGCTAAACTGAAACCTTTTTTAGTTCAATCGATTTTTGTATAAAATGTAAAATTATGTGATGGTACATAAAAAAAATTATTTTAATTTTAAATTAACTTCTTGTTGTCGAAATGAGAAATTTTAAAGAAATATTTAATTTGGTTTTTTTAATCATTGACTTCCGATGAAAAAACGAAATGTGTTACAGGAAAGCTCATTTATTAATATTGGTTGAAAAATACTTTCAGAAACACATACAAATTTTATTTCGACGAAACTTTAATACACAAATTTTGTTCTTTTAGTTTTACAGAGGCACACAGAATTGTCTGTTTATAGAGCGTCCTCACAGGGATTTTCCAACGGAAAAGCCGGCAAAAATCCTACGCTCAACTCGGCATATCCAAGAAATAAAACAAAACCCACCCCGCCCAAGCGATAAAAAAAATGAGGTCAGCGCGAATTTCAGCAAATTTTGTTCCCAAAAAGTTGAATTCGCAAAGGGGGAATACCGGAATACGGGATAAAATGAGGCATGAAGGTAAAAGTAAAGTATGTAGGGAAGGAAAACGCACCCAACAACAACAGTTTCACCTCCGAGGCGGCGCGTTCGTGCTCCGCCCTGAGCGCCTTGTCGATGTTCTTGGACCGTTCGATGGCCTCTTTATCGCGTGCTGTACTCACGGCACAACCCATATTCGCCGCTGTATGTCTTTATCGCGTTGGAGTCCGGAAGGCTTGGCAACAGGGCTTTTCCGCGATTTTCGCACTTTTCACTCGCAGTTTTCGACGATTTTCGAGATGCGTCTGCGCGTCGTCGGCTGTACACTTTTTCTCCTCTTTTTGTGTTTCCTCCTCTTCTCCTTTCACACAAACACAGCACACATGCGCACGGGCACGCACACACACACACACACGCACGCAAAGTGGATCTGCAGACGCTGTTTTTTTTTTTTTGGGCTTTTGAAAAGTAACCCAAATGCACTGCTTTTCTTAACGTTAATGCTGCAGCGGCAGATCCGATTTTATTTCTTTTGTCGTTTAATTTCGCTTATCCGCCGATTTAGCGCAATGATTCACTTTTGATCGTATTATTTTAGTGTAACCGTTTGCTTTTTAGAGGTGGGAAAAGATCGATGTCATCGACGATCGGCGATAACTGTTTTATCGGTAGCGCTTATCGATGCTTATCCGTCTCTGACGATATTTTCTCGCCACTGTTAACTTCTTAGTTCGACGTTTTCCTAACATTCTCTGAGAGGCGGGAAACCAACGGTGAAAACATCGGTGTTTTCATGGGCGTATCGATGTTTGGCAGGGCTTATCGATGTTTATCCAGTTCTAACGATCGCATATTGTTTTTCTGGCGTTACAGGGTCTCCGCTAAATAGGGAGCATGTCTTCACTAACTGCGGAGTATGGGCGAACATCTGGCAATGTTGGTTGTACGGCAAACTCCACTAAATGCAAGGGTGGCAGCTCGGGCTGGATTGGCCACTCTGCTAGACAAAAGAACGGCAGCACTGGCTGGGTGTAGAACTCCACTATTTTCGTATAGGGCAATGGTTACGTCACAAACAGTTGAGATGACCTGCCAACTCGTCTTATTAACCCTCTTCCTGGGCGGACAATTTGAAAATGAATTAATTAATCAACAAACATTTTAATATCCTTAACTTTGTGTGTCCAAGTTATTAAGCCAACCCAAATGATCTTGTTTCGTCTGGTCAGCCATTAGCCATAATTTCATTATGCCCAACTTGCCCTTTGCCTTTCGGATTTTGTTTGTTGTTATAGCGCGTTAAGTATAAACAAACATAACCGAAAATATGTTATTGCTCCGAAATGCAGGCGATCGTCTGCCCCTTTCATCCCACACTCTTTGCTCTCTTTCTCCCTCTGCAATATGCACGCAAGCCGACCGAAAAAAGTTCTCAGAGCCCTGGCATAAATAATAATAATATTTGCCGTTGGGACAATACCATTTGATACAATTGGATTCCAAATGCTTGCAGTTGCATTTGGTGTTGCTACAGTCAAGATCCCCTAACGCAGATATTTTGAGTTGCTTTATAAAATAAAAAATTTTATATAATGAGCTTCTTAATTTTAGATTAGAAACCATTATATTATTAATTATTACCAATTTTTATAAACTTCAATATAGCAAAATATTTTCCTATTTAAAATTAAATAAATATTTTCGGATAAATATGGTTTTTGAACAAATAATTATAACTTATGAAAGGAAATGTAAATTTACCCACTCTTAAAGGAAGTTGCAAGTTTTAGATTGAGATACTTTCCTGTGCTCCCAAATCGATGATATAAAAAGAAATTCGTCGATCGTGGAGGGCTTTCCGCAGCTAATTTATCTAAACAAAAAGATTCAAAGCCGAGGCAGGAAGATGAGGATGGGGTCGCAGTGCAAAAGTTTCACCGCCGCCGGAGGACGTCACATGTGGCCCCCACTCCGCATCCCCTCGCGTGCGCCCCTGTAAATAGGGGCCATCAACGGGTCATGATTTACACATGTTTACACGAAATGTGCGGCATTTTTCGAAGGGCGCAGTAGGGGGAGAGGGGGGAATAAGGGAATCGGGATCTGGATCTGGATCTGGAACCCACTGCCTTATGAATGAATGATCGCTTCAGCTTCTTTGCCATCCACCTCCCACTGTAAATTATCGTAAAAAGCGCAGGCTAGAGAAATATGGATTTGTGCGGTTTTTCCATGGGTGTGCAAGGGGGATGGGGGATGGGGCGTATGGAGCAATGCTGCACTTTGGGTGGTCTTTTGTTGCCATCTCAGTTGCACTCAAAGCCAGCAGATCAGGCGCATGCTGCCCTCATTGTTATTGTTGTTGCTGCACCATGAATCCCAAACTGTTTGCTGATGCCAACAAATTTGACGAACGTCGGCATTTCATCCAAAACTTCAATCGGCATAAAGAAGAAGAATACGAAGACTAGGCACCAAAACCAAAACCAAAAACAACAACAAGCTGCCAAGCAAACAGCAGCGAGAAGAAGATGAAGGAGCAATTACAAGGATGGGCAAGGCCTTGAAATAGATATGTACATATATACCGTTAGCAAACCCACACAAACCATTCACTTAGAGAAAATATTATGAACTTGCATGTGGATGGAATTCGAAAAATCTAGGTATTGTAGAGTTCTAATTTTTCGCTTTTCCCAATCAAAAAACATTTTAAAATACCTTTAATGAACGAATGAACATAATGAAAAAAAAAACAAAGTTTTTAGATAGAACATTTAATAGTTTGGTTTTGGAACTTACCAACTCCTATTCTTCTTATGTATTCCATTATAGGATTTTTTATTTATTTATAATTTTAGCACTTTAAGCCTGAATAATTAAGTTTCTTATGTTACATTTTAAGCGCTTAAAATCTTAGTTTACTTTAACTAACGTTTAGTTTGTTATTAAGTAACAAATTGTTATCAAAAAAAAAAGTATAGAGGGTTAAAAAAAATGTTCTCAGTGTCTATACAAAGAGTTTGGCACATGTGTTATGGCACTGGGCAAACTCAAGATTGTGAAGATTAATTTCCTCGATAATTCGGGAAGCTGGAAAATTTAGTTTTGGTTGGAATCTTTTTCTGGCCGTTGAAAGGTGGAACAGACAGGCAGGAATCTCCTCAATTCCCTTCAAAATCACCCATCTAACACTCCCCCTTCAATTTCCAGTCGCAGTCAAGTGAAGTTGCAGACTGCAGACGCGAAGCATTTAAGAGTATTGATGGATTCTCCGGGCGTCGATCGTCGGATGTTCCGATTGATTTTCGGCACTTTTTCAAAAGGCTTAAGAGACCGACAAGTTGAGAAAATAAAAAATAACGTGGAATTGTAATGGTGCATCAATGGAATAACTAAAGATAATTTTTAACACAAAAATTCGATGAAATAAAACGACATTAATAAAATGCCAAGAATTTCCAAATTATGCCTAAGAAACTTTGATACAGAAAAATTTCTCCCCAGTATCTTTCCCCTAAAAGTTCCGAACATATAAATTGTCCTGTGATGAATCAAGTGATAAAATTGATTTATGCTTAATAGATGTTGCCTTTGCAAAACCCACATTAAAGATACCCCAGACGCCGACTAACCCCATTAAGCCAATAAATTCCAACGTTTTGCCAATGAAATGAGGCCGCAGAATCGTAAAAGCAGGGCGAATAATCTCTTCAACTAAAATTAGTCGCTTCGATTTGTTTACACTGCGATAAAGTAATAATTACCCCAAAAAAAAAACAGCAGAGCAACGAACATATATTACACCGATCCGTTCGATCAATCGCACCCCAAGGCAACAAAAAATATAAAAATAAAAGAGTTGAGCTGGGAAAAAAGTATTTCAACTATTGGGTCGTCTTGGGCCGACAAGTGTGACCATGGAGGGGGTGAGTTCTATGTATATATATATCTCTTTTTGTTTACATCGGGCAAAGGAAAACCCGAAAATATAGATCTTAAACGGCCATACGGTTGCAACCTGCCCGTGGAAGAGAGGAAAATCGGTCGGCGGCAGGAAACAAAAGTCGCTGGGAATGCAATTGAATTGCCATAAAAATGGGAAGAACCGAAAAAGGCGGGGTAACAAAGAACCATTTAGTACCCACCCACTCTCGGATGTCGGATTTATTAGTTCGCCGGGGTTCTGGATTTCGACCAAATCTTGGTCCTGCATCTGGGATTCGAAAATCGCAGTTCAAAAATTGCAACTACGTGGGAGCTTTTAAGCACCTGCCACCTGATGTTATGCAGTTTTCCCCCCCATTAACAATACTCAGAATTCATTCAAAACATTCTCTTTTATCTATCAATTGTTTTCGCTTAAAATTTTGATACGTTTGGTCCATATAGTCCGACTTTTGTATCGCCATGGGCTTAGACATCGTAAATGCGATATTATATCACTTGTGTAGATCTGCGCATTGCCTGTTTTCCCAAAGCTATTTTTGCCCAGATTATAGTTGATGCTTTATGGCTTTATAATGTCTGTGCACGTTCCGTTTTATGATCTGCCCGTAAAATGGACCCGATTCATGTTGGGCCCCCGGCAACAATATGGTAATTTGTTGGCCATTATATGATCTTGTGTGGAAAGGGGCGACTTCTTGCATAGCCTGTAAGAAGAATGCTTAATTCTTTTCATATCTTTGGAAATAGTTCAAAATCACAAAATCTGGTAATTAAAGGTTACGTACCTAGGACCTCTTGGGTTCCTCCTCCTGTGGCACATCCTTTTCCTCCTTCCGGAAGGATGTATACTTTTCCACGAGCTTGCTGAACAGTCCCTTTTCATTCTCAACTGCTGTTTGATGGCGAAGGACCAGCAAAGTGCTGCGGCACTGAAGCAAAAGTCTGGACATTTTCGAATTGTGTTTTAGGATTGACGTGTGAAAGAATGTATTTTGCTTTGAACTTTTTTTTCAGAGCAATCTACGTCTTTAAAAACTATGTTTATAGAATTTCCATTTCTTTTAAATTTATCCGGTTAGCTTTAGTGGTTGCCATAAACTCAGAAAACCCTCTCAATTTTTCTTACACTTATCTTCGGATGGTTTATCTTTATCGCCGGACTTTTTGTTACAGCGGGGCGCGGTAGGTTGTATGACTTAAAAAAAAATAGGGTTAGCAAAGCTAATATGTAATTGTGGTTACCTACCTTTTCCACAAAAGTCCTTCTTTGCCTTCTCTTTTTTTTTGGTTTCTTCGCTTTTACAAGATTCCTTCTTTGAATCGCCTTTATTTGAGGAACCAGCCAGAAGGCGAGAGCTCATTAGACCTTTGCTTAGTTTTAAAACCGCAATAGTTCGCATGGTATACATTTTTGCACGGGTTCGCCGAAAAATCACTTAAAAACAATACTACTACAAATTTTGAAAACTAAATTCAGGAAAAATAAATAAAGATGATTTCGATATGTTAAAATCAAAAGTTGCTTTGATTAGGTTTTAAAATTTTAAGGTTTTTCATCAATATTAATGATCAAAAAAATATTTTTGCCATTATTTTGAGTTATAATAATTAAAATATTTATTTGCACTTAAAATAAGTATGTTTGGAAATAAATTTTATACAGTCCTAAACGCTGTAGTAGCTAATCGATTCATCCTGATCTTGTCCTGCCAAAACGAGTTGTTAACCAGAATTGTGAGCTGTGTGCTGAAGGAATTCCGTACGGAAAGTGACATATGGGTGATCCGCTTCTTAATGGTTGCTTGCCTTGCATTTTCCAGTTTTGGTTTTCGGTTTCAGTAACAAAATTACAAACCGAGTTTTCAGTCACCCGTGGCTACCGCTTCCAAAATCGATCTCAAGTGGCGACCACACATCATTAGCCTCGGACTGTGATTTGGGAAAAGGGAGCTGGAATGGCGGGGAAATCGTCGAGGCGGCGCCACGTCAAAATATTTGTCATCAGCGCTTCAATTGGTCCGATTTATGGGTGCGGATAATTAGACGACGACTGCTGCGTCAGGATGTCGCCGTCGATTAAACCAAAAATGAAATTTACATTTACTTCTGGGCTTCTTCCTCCGCAGCAAGCCACTTGAACACGATATCGGTTTGCGCCTCTGATCTTGTTTTGTCTTTTTACTAATGATCTAGTGATGATTGCTTGTCCAAAAAACTAGGTTGCTTGTGTTTCGAGGGGGTCAAAGGTGTTCTAAATTAAGAATCAAGATTTTTTCTATAAAACAAATTAAGATTAAAATGTTTACCAGCGCTGCTTTTTTTCTGGAAATGAGAAAGTTTTTTTTTTTAATATTTTAAAAGTAGTTTTCAATTAATCTTATTCATAATAATAATTTATATGTTACTGAATATTTATATTATTATTTTATCCAACAACACTCACTAAGTTCCTTGATTATAGGAAAATTAGTCTTAATTTTAGGGATAATTTAATCAGAATAAATGCCTTAAATTTCATGTTTTCCAAAATTTTGTATACAAGGTTCAAATTTATGGCAATTATTCCAAAAATTAAGTCATTTTTTCCTAAAACCAAGGTTCTTATAGTGCACAAACCCCCTTGAACCATGTGAACTGATCATTCGTGGACTTCGTGATCAAGGCAAATAAAAAAAGAGGAAAACTTTTACTTTCAACCATGTATCCTTGGGAAGCGTGAAAACATTTAAGCTAATAGTCTCAGCATTCGACTGTCAAGCTGTGGAACACAACCTATGACATTTCAATGCTAAGCAGTCGTTTTTCCCCGGATTCGGATATTTTTAGGCCACACAGGTGCGCTGCCCTCGAAGGCCAAAGACAGAGACCCGTAAAAAACGCGTCTACAAAAGCCCTGGAAGAACAAAGCGAACGACACAGAAGAATTGGAGAGAGGAGAAGACAAGCGCTGAGGGGAGGACCAATGACGACAATGAGCGTCAATTGAAACGAAACAGATGCCATCCCATGGAGGCGATCGGAGATACAAGATACAAGATACAAGATCGAAATCTTCGATTGCGGATTGCAAGAGAAAGACCGAGACACCGAAAGACTGGATATTGTAGATCGTAGGTCGTTATGTGTGATCAGCCGTTTTGGCAAGGGTGCTTAAGCGGGAAGATTAATTACTGCCAACGTTGCGGAATCGATTGGGCGATGAAAAGCGTGTAAATCCCCAGTTCCAGTTCCAGTTTCGGTTTCCCGTTCTTCAGTTGGCCGTGAGTCAACGCATTTTAAGTACCGGCCATTAAACTAAAAGCTAAACAACAACAGCCAAAGTGGAGAATCGGATGCGATCGGTTTTTCGGGGATCGGTTCCGAAGTGGCCAGCGTTTCTTTTGGGTCTTTTTCAAAGTAATTTGTAGAATCGCTCTCTGCGTTTCTTCTGACCCGTTTCTTTTTTTTTTTTCTTAATTTTTGTACATTTGGCGCAATTATTGCGCACCAAATGGATCGCAAGTCTATAAATTGTTCGATTTTATTGCGCCAGCTTCGACAGTTGAATGGCGCAAAGCGCCAATAGGGGCATCATGGGGAATGGGGGATATGGGATGGAGGATTTGGAGGCGTCTCTGAACTTTTACTGCGTCTGCCCATAGTTTGCATAGTTTGGCAATGGCACCGACAGCCCGACAGCAGATTCTTGGCCATCTTGCGCAAGGCGCCCATCTTGGATTCGTGCAAACACACACACAGCCGTACATTTCACAGCGGCCAAGGTGTTTATGGCCAACTAAAGTGTGGAACTGCCAAAGTGTGGCAATCGCTGGTCACAACAGGAGGCGAGGGCCGAAAATGCAATTAACCGAAACAAGTACAGCACAGTTAAAGCCAAAAGAACAAAGGAATTTTCACATATTGAAAGCGGCAAAACTAATTCACATTTTAGTCTGCTGGAAATGTTTGAATACCTTTATTAGCATAAATTTAAATTTACTGGCAATGCCAACATTCATTCAGTGTCTTAACTTAAGTTTTAAGCACTTTTTTTTAAATATTAAGTTTTTCCCTATTTCTTTCAAGACGGACTGTCTTCATTTGCAATTGGTTTTCATACTTACCTTATCTTAAACTTTTAAAAAATGTATTCAGTTCTTCTTCTTAAATGCATTTATATTTATTAAGTTGTAACGACGTTTCGTGCAATTTTTAATATGCAAAATTAAGAGCTTATTTCTTGTTTGGGATATTTGTTATTATCTAAATCACATCATTTTGGTTGCCAAATTTTCTTACTCCACTAATTATGCCAGTAATTTTATTAGAATCATAAGTCCCATCCCTTTTATCTAGCTTTCTATGAACTTATTAACCCTTTTTCCGCTTCCGTTTTCTGTTTAATTTCTTGTGTCGTTTCCTTATTTATAAATCCCAGCTAATATGTTTTCACCATCCCCCTGAATTTACCTTTTTGAACTTTGGGGCCATCATTTTAGTGTTTATTCCACTCAAGTTTGTCAACCGCGTTAGCCCAAACAAGATCGAATCCACTTAAACAGAACTGTTCGCATTTAATGGGAAATAAAACGTGGAAATTCATAAATATTTACAAACACATAATTACAGTCGTGGGAAAGAGCAATAACAACTTAAATCGTAGCTAGTTAAAAAAGGCAAATAATGCGGTGTTTGTATATTTGAATTTTGGTTTTTGGCCACAACACGTGATCCTAATCAAGACTGTGATAAACAAAATCTGGGGGCACCCAGAATGGGATCAGATCGGAATCGTTTAGAGTGAGATCTAAGCAACAAATTGCACACAGCAGAATGTAAATATTTAAACAAAGTCTTGGCCAACCGATGGTGGGCGAGGGGCAGTGAAGTTTAACTAGACGGCATAATTTTCGGGTCGAAAACTCTGTGTAAATATTTTGAAATTTTGTCGGATTTTTTCCTAAGGCTCTCTGCTTCTTCTGTTTGATTATTTATTGGAAGACTGTTTAATAAGCCAGGGGGCGTGGATCGGGCGATCGAGGATCGGTTTAGGTGCAATTGTTTGCTTTCACCAGTTGTTGTAGGTCAGTGTGCAAAAACAAATCCCAATGCGGCTTCTTCTTGTATACAAAAGTTGGTGGTGGTTGATGGTTGGTGGTTGCTGGATGCTGGTGTTGTGTTTAGAGTACAGCGTTTAATTGTTAAATGTTTATTAAAACTACAGTTTAAACAATGCCTGAGATGCGATGCCCATCCAGGAGCAGCCAACGGGCATCAATGGGATCGCCTGGGATAGAATCGAAGATCAGCCGGCTCAACGCGTCGTATACATAATTTTGTTTACAAACAGCCATAGTAGTAAACAATTTTCGGCCATTTAATAACATTAACATTAAAATTAAAAGCAAAACAAGAAGCGCGCCTTCCGTCTATGCCAACTTATCTTTATTATGATTATCTGAACTTGAAAATGGAACAACAATGTGAAACGATGACGACTATTGTTTGGGAATTCCCTTGTCTGTGTTTATGGATCTGTTATGACCACAAGAAGAGCTCACTCATGGGCCAAGCAAGATGGAAAGTCTCCTGAGTTGAGGGGTCCAAGTCCAAGATGGCTGGAATCCACAGGCGGAACTGTTGACCCAGTTAAGATGACGCATTCGCTCGTTGGGTGGCCAGTGCAGTTCGGTCGGACACTGGCTATAAATAATCGGCTATAAAGACAAGATGTCGTATCGGGAAATGCAAAAATAAAATCATCGGAGGAAAACCATATTGGAAAATTCTTGGCAAACATTTTTCTGAAACGGAAACTGTCAAAATATGGTCGGGAAATCTTTGATCAATTTTGCAGTAAATATTCAGTGGGCAGTTAATGTAATCCCTCCTCCATAAATCAAAATGTCGAGGAAAAACGTGGAATTTTACTATTCAATGTATTTGTCCTTGAAACTATTCCATAGATACGAGAATAATTTATTATTGGGAGATCTTTGAAATATAAAACTCTTATTACTGTTTGTAAAAAATAGCAAAGATCTAAATGAAAATGTTTAATTAAAGCCTGACTAATTTTCATAACTATAATTAATGAGCTATTAAGGTGTATATTTTAAAATATTTAAAAACATTACAAAATATAAACCTTTCTTGTGGCCACATTACATTCAGTCAATAAACCTTATGTGAAAAAAATAAATCGTTAATGGTTTCTACACCTTTTTGTAATTTATTGCCAAGCTAATCGAACACAATTTCTCGGGTTCTGGGAATCCATCGCCGAACAGAGCAATTAATTAATTTCCCGCCATATCAGGGTCTGTGAGCTATTGGTGGCCTGCTTAATTTATTCCTCACTTGCAGAAAAATTCCTGAATGTGCACAAAACAAAAACAGCGGGCAAAACAAAAAAATAAGAAAAAATCAACGAAAAAAGGAGAAGTAATAATAATCAAAAGTAAAATTAATTTATGGCCTCCAAACCGCAGAAGCGGCAAGAAAAATGGCCAAAAGTGAAAAATATCTGAATGCCCGATGGAAATTACTAAAGTCGGAGGAATTCTACAATTCGGAAAACCCGAATGGGCTTCGAGGAAATTCACAGAAAATGGCGAGTGGCTTGATATACGGGCGGAAAAAAAGTGGCGGATGAAATTAAAATATCTTTCAGGCCGCGTCCGCAAGACAGTCAGAAAATAAAAGTAGCGAGCGGAATTTTCTCTCCTTCGATTTTCTCAATCAATGCCCGACGTCGTCGACAAATAGAATTTCGTGAAATGTAAACAAAACTCCGCCCCCGTGTGTTCCTCCCACCGCCGGCACCACAAAATGTATCTGTATCTTTGTGAGCGCCCCTGTGTATCTCGTCTCGTCTTTGGGGAATTAAATCGTTGCCACGGCGACAGCGAAGGAGAAAGCGAGAAAGCGACAGCTTCAGAGCAAGAGGGAGCGATAGAGAGCGGCGTCGCCATCGATTCGGTTCAGGGGCGTAGTCGAGGGGGCTTCGCTGAAAATGCTATTATTATTATTATTTTATTTAATATATCATTGTAGAGAATAAGTCTATAGACGAATTAAATATAATTGTTGCAAAATATTTTTTTTTAAATTTATAGTTTATAAAATAGTTTTAAAGTTTGTAAAAATTTGATTAAAGTATTAATGATCTGGACCGCCGACCTAATATTTTTTTTATTATAAAATATAGTCATTTGTAAAAAAAATTCTGTTTTTTAATCTCTTAATGAAATTGACCCTAGGGTGATTCTTTAAGAAATAAGAGCTCATTTAATCTAGCTATCAAATAATGATTTTTGGATCCTTTAAGAGAGAAGTATGGCTTTTAATTTTTTCTTGAATTTTTTTTGTTTTAAAATAATGTTGAATTTCTTTAGAAGGAGATCTTCAATTATTAGAATGGGACAAACTTTAACCTGCTGATTTTTGTAATTGAAAAGTTAATTTTTTTAAGACCCCCTTGCAAGCCCATGTCTTCGTCTTCGTTACGGTCGCCCTGCTGCCAACGAGGCGGCGTAGTGCTGACAGCAATGGCGGCACTCAGAGGTGCTGCTGCACGGCCCGTTCTCCGGCCGTAGCATCCCCCCTCCGGCTCCCAGTACCGCTTCCATTCCCATTCCCACTCTCGATCTCGAACCCGGTCCGGATCCGTGCCAGCGTGGCAACGACTAAATCAATTAACAGCTCGTTTCGAAATTCGAATGCCGCCTCCAGCGACGGCAGCTTCCTTTTTTCCACCGAATCCGCTGGCACCGCTAAACGTTAATTCATTCGCGCTAATCGCGGGGTTCGATCTTCGAGGATCTCTTTCTGCTTTTGACTATTTATTAACTGTTGACTGGCCACGGGGAAAGGAGGCCTCCCAGCGGGGAGGTGGGTGCACAAAGGTTGCCAATGGTTTAACTCAATCCGAATTCGATTCGTGTCGGAAATAATAACCATAATGAGTCAGTAATGAGTGGGTTCCGATCGCGATCGTTGGGGTCACGGGGGTGCAAGTGCAGGATAGATTTAAAAACGCTTTGAACCAATTATTGCATTTATACACAGAGGCCATGTTTACAAAACAAGCGGTTCAGCTGCTAAAATTTATCTGCCCAAATGCTGACTAAAATTAATTATTGCAAAAATGTGGTTGAATTAAACGCTTTAATCTGGAAAGTGTTTCCTTTCTTTGAAGTATGATAATAAAGTAAACATTTTGAATATTTAACTGAGTAAAATTTCAATTTCTAAACTTAAAATGCAATACTTAATATTTACTTAGAAATCTAAATATTATACTTAAGCCCTTTCCTTTTTGTTTTTTTTACCTAATTCTGGAAAAAGAAGTTTTTAAGACAATTGAAAAAAAAATTTGTCTTTATTTGTTAAAATTCTACTTGCATATACCAATATTTTCAGACCATTTAATCTTTAGTGAAAGGCAGTTGATTGCTTTAGCTTAGATTTGTTTTTCTTCCATACTTGTCTTGTGTTTTGCAACAGAATCTCCTTTCATATAAACTTATTATCTTTTATATCTTACCCCTAGTAATTAAAGTCGTTTAAGGCTCGACTTTCTCTATGTTCCCATTTAAGTCTCCGAGATACCTGGCATACCAAAGTTCCCTAGCCTTACGTACTCCAATAACCGCAGTCCCCAAGTCAGAGACCTGATGCAGTGAGAATTCCAATTCATTTGCGTTTTCTCGGAGCGGAAAACCCTGTGGATGAGCCAATTGGCGGCCAGAAAAAAAAGAAGAGAACAATCCAAACATATATGTACACATGGAAAAGCCGAGAGAAAGAGAGAATATCGAGCGATTTGCGTAAGGCGTGGGCGTACTAAAAAAAGATTTCCGGCCGATGGCAACTCAAGTGGATCGCATCGTATGGGATCGTGGTTTCAGCTTTGCTCCAGGACCGATCTGCCATCAGTCGAGCGAGAATTGCCAAGCGGTGCGGTCTTCCAGCGGTTAGAAAAACCAGAACTCCGCCGGAAAAACGCGCGTTTTAGTTTTAGTTTTAGAAATTGAGTTTTTGAAAGCCAATCCAAAAAGAAAATTTTTAAAAAATATTAAAAAAACAAGTGTTTGATAAGAAAAACTAAAGTGAAAATGATCAAGAGTGAGGAGGTATCGGATCGCTCGGTTATGACAATGGATCAGCTGGGCTACTACCATGATCCCCGTGCCCACCCGCCTTTTGGCCACGTCCACACCCACACACACACCCACAGTCACTCCCACAGTCACCCCCAAACTGGGCATCTATACCGCTCGGGGAATCTATTAACTGTAGGCAATTACCAGACAATGGGTGGCGGTGAATCACCCACGGAGATGGTCGATGAGAAGCCAAATATCGGTTATATGGAACTCAAGCACTATATGGAAGTCGCGCCCACCGCCACGCCCGTTTCGGCAGCCCAGCATTATAGTCTGAGTGCCCTGCACAGCATGGGCACTCCGCCGGCCTCCTCGAGTCCCATACCACCGTATGGGGTCCTGATGACGGCCCAGGCCCATTCCCAGGCCCATTCCCAGCCCCATTCGGCGGGATCCGCCTCCCCGCAATCCAATTCGAAGACGCCCACGGATCTGCCGCAGGATCTGCAGTACGTGAGCTCCACGCCCAAGGCGCAGCCATTGCCGGTTCAGCTGCAGCCGATGAACCATCAGTACACATCCACGATAAAGTACTGCTCGAACAACACCATACTGAGTGCGAACGACTACCAACTGCTGACCAGTCACGAGGTGGAGCCACAGCCGTCGCAGCAGGTGCAGCCGCAGCAGCTCCAGCACTCGCCTGGTGGTGCCTACCTGCCGCGCATCTCCGCCTCGCCGAGTCAGGTGATCAGCAATGCCCACGGGATGCCAATTCTGAACTACTCAAGTTCGAGTTCCTCGCCTGCCAAGTCACTGAATGAGTCCGATTCCTCGCCGCCCAGTCAGAATCCTCAGGCGATCAAGGGATCGGCGGGGGGAGGAGGCGGTGGAGGAGGTGGCCCCAGCAACCAGGATATGCCCAGCACTCCGGACACCACCAAGAAGTCGGGCACCCGACGGCCAGAGAAACCAGCCCTCAGCTACATCAATATGATCGGCCAAGCGATCAAGGAGTCGCCCACTGGGAAGCTAACTCTCTCCGAAATCTACGCTTATTTGCAGAAGAGGTAATTGTTACAGTGTGTTGATGGTATACAGGATTGAGATTCACAGGGGATTTTGACAAGTGCATTTTGATATTATCCAAGAAAAAATGCCACAAAAATGGCAACAGGAAAATTACTAACTTAACCAAGATGAAGAGATTGCAAAAATATTTTTTTTTTCCAAGAAATTCCGAAGTGACAAAAATTGGCTAAAACTTGTTTATTTGTATCCTACCTATAACCTTAATGTAGGTATTAAACTATAAACTAAATTACTTGACGAGGGTTTCACAAGTTTTAACGCAAACAATTTTTAATATTTATTCTATCTAAAGGTCCGATAAATTAGCTGCAAAATATGTTAAAATGCAGAATAAGGTAAACAAAAATGGGACTGTCTCTGTTTCTGGTGAACATATTTCATTAAAATTTAGGGTATTTAATTAGTTTTCGGCGAAGTAAATATTTAACCAATATTTTATTGTACCAATTGTGTATAGTTTTTAATTAGCTGGGTGTTTTTTTCTAAATAATATAAAAAACGCTTAATTAAACGATATTGTTGTGGGAGTAGAATGCAGGTTTTGCAAACTATAAAAAAATGATTCAAAATTAATAATCCGTAAAAATGAACTGGAATTGAAGACTGGTGGCGGCATCTCAGACGGAGCCAATTGGCGATATCGACACTCCGGCATAGCCAGCGGTCAAATGTGGGATATTAATACCGATCCAGTCGTGCGATCAATGTCGGGCGACAACAAAAATGTGTCGCTTGGGTTTATTTACTTGCATCCGATTCTATTTAGCCAACTCCGCTTGCCGCATGCGCATCCTTCAGATAGCTCATATTTCGCGCCGCTTGTTTGGATTTCGATTTCGGCGACGAGACGGAGATCCACTTGAGCTTAAAAAAGGGGGAAGCCGGGGAAGGAGGGAATTCCACATGCGTGAGAGGCTTTTAAGCTGACATCGTTTCTTTCTTTTTTTTTTGACGCCGAACTCCGATCGTTTCAAAAAAAAGTTTTAATTGAGTTTCGCAAGAGCTGTAGAATAAATAAACGCTCGATTATCAATTTTCGACTTTTGACGCTTGCCTTTGAGATAAATGGAAAGAAATGCATTTTTTCAAAAAGTCATTTCAAATTCTTGATAAATCTAATTAAATTTAAATTTTTTATTAAGTCAGTTACCTATTATAAGTTTAAAAAGGTTGCCAAGCTTTGTCAATTGATTAAAACATGTTATAAAATAATTTAAAATACTTTATTTATGCTTAATTGGACTATTTTTTCTCTGTACAGCTATGAATTCTTCCGTGGACCGTATGTGGGCTGGAAAAACTCAGTGCGCCACAATCTCAGCTTAAACGAGTGCTTCAAGAAGCTGCCAAAAGGCATGGGCGTGGGCAAGCCGGGAAAGGGCAACTACTGGACCATCGACGAGAACTCGGCGCATCTCTTCGAGGACGAGGGCAGCTTGAGACGTCGACCAAGGGGATATCGGTCCAAGATCAAGGTCAAGCCATACGCCGGTCATGCCAATGGATACTACACTGGCAGTTATGGAGATGCCGGAATGGTGAGTTTGGAAAAAGCATTCATAAATCAAGAACTATCTTTGAAAATGTGCTAAAATGTTACATATTGCAATTTAAGTTTTTATTTAAATTGTATTTTAAATTGGCAAAGTTGATGCTTAGACATTTTTAGAATTAGCGTTTTAATGCGAAAAAACATTCTTATTGCAAACACATACAAAAATTTAAAGTATTTACCATTTTTTTGCTTTTCTAATCTATATTGTTTACCCTCCAGGACAATGCCAACTTCTATGCCTCGCCCGCCTTCGCTAGCTATGATTACACATCAGCCGGAGCTAATGGTGTCTCACCGGCTGGCGGTCAAGGATTCGGGGATCCGTGGAACGCCCATGCCGCCCACAGCGGCCCCTCCTCGGTGGGCATGGGCGTTGGTCCCCTGCCGCAGTACTCGAACATATCCTGCCTGGCAGCCGGCGGCAACCCCAATGCGTCCGCCTGCACGCCCCCGCTGGCCCACTCCGCCCTGGGAATGGCCCCCTCGGCGGCGGGATCCTCCAGTTCTCCGCTGGGATCCGCGGCGGTGCTTCAAAGCGATTATGCGCCAACCGCGAGTCTCGTGGCCGCGGGCTATTCCTATGCAACAAGTGCCGGCAGCCTGGACAACGGTAAGTGAGACGCCCCAGAAAGCAATGAGGGTCGAACGGCACTGCGAGAAACGGTCTAGTCAGTATTAGCTTCAAAATAAATGTGCAATTTTATAAAATGAATGTAGAAAAATATTTATTGTTTAAATTGCCAAAACAACTTAGTTAATAACATTTAATATTTTATAAAGTCTCAGTTAAAGTGCTGCAAAATTAACAATATCAACCTGATGATTTTAAAGTGGTTTTAGGAGGGATCAAGATTTTCAAATTATTAACTTGAAATAATATTAAACTACTAAAAGTTTATCTAATTGTAAATTCAGATTTGGTTTAGCACGTGCGTACCAATCTTTATTTTATTTAGTTTAAAGTATCCTTCTTAAACATTTATGTATATTAAAATAAAACTTTGAATCTTATTTATCATACCATGTTTTTAATATTTTAATATTTGTGTTGCAATTTTTCACCATTTCAATATATTCAGTTTAAATGACAGATTGACTTGGTGATTTTAACTTACACAACACCTCGTAGTAAAAACGATTTTTTTTAAGTGTAGCCACTTGAAGGGTGCAGGGCAGATCTTTGAAAAGGGGATCATAATCCTGGGTGTTCGCGTCAATCAGGGTAATTTAATTGCTGACGGTTCACATCTCGAATTACCGAAGGCGGGGGCAAGAACATATGGTAATCTATGCCGCACTCGATCGACTCCCTTTTTTTATAGTTGCCGCCGACATAGCGGCGCAGTGTGAGTTTTAGCGCTTGTCCATAAAACGAGAGCTGCAATTTTAATCGGTTTTTTTTTTATTTACGTTTTTCCGCAGGTCTCCGCTCAATTTCGTTGCAGCAACTTCCCGGACTATCCAGTATTCAGCAGGCACAAGCGCAGGCCCAGGCTCAAGCCCATCACCACCACCATCAGCATCACCTCCAGAACCATGGGTCCATCCACCAAAACCACGCGTCCATGACCCCGCCGCCATCGCAATCCGGTGGCAATCATGTGATCGACCATTCGCCCATCGATCGCAAACCGGTTTACTTGCCGCCCATCACCCCGCCCCCAACTTCGGTGGCTCTGAATGGCGGCGGTGGATATTATGAGGCCCTTAAGTACTCCAATTAGCCACCTCAACTGGGCTAGGCCGGAATTCATCATTATTACCTCAAAGGATACAATAATCACGTTTAATTAGGACCTAAGTAGCGGCAGACAAAAGATAGTTGAATAGTGCTTAGAGGAGAATCTACACATAAATAAATATTTTGTACGCATAGCAATAAAATCAAACTATTTATAAACAAGACATGCATCGCAGAGAAAGTTCACCTAAATGAATATACACTTTTAAAATCAGCTGCGTTTTTGTGTAATTTTGATGTGATTCGAAAGCTTTTTGATGGCATTTTGTAACATTCTTATGGGAACTTAATTTTACCAAGTGGTCATTGCATTAATTAAAGTTTTTAAAATTTACGTTGAGTTTTGCTATGCACAACACCACAATACACTACATATAATTCCAAGAATCAAATGTTTGAAACATATTTACCATTCTTCTGAATTTTAAGCTGAAGACATTAAAAAAATATTTTAACTGCCTAAGTAAAAATCTAGTGAAAAAAACCAAACAAGAAAGAAAGCATACTTCCGCAGGCCGAAGTTTATTCACATTTGCAGCTATTCCAATTTCGTTATTATGCGTATATTCTTAAAAACAGTGAAGCTGTCGATCGTTCCTTTGGCAGCTAAATGATATGCTGCCGAAAGCCTTTAGTATCCCATTTTAGAAAGGGAGTATTCCTCCTGCAATGAGTTTGTTATCGCTGTCAACGACTAGATGAGTCAACCACTTTTTAAATGTAAGTGATAAAATTTTGCAGGGCAGTGAAGACCCTTTAAGGTATATATAATTTTGATCAGAATCACTAGCCATGTCCGTCTGTCCGTTTTTACGCAAATATAAATACTTTATAGGATCTTCACTGTACAAAGGCAATAGAACGTTCAGAACGTCATTTCTGTTGATTAAATAATTACATTTTAAAAGTCTATAAAAAATAGTTTTTTCCAATTTTTTATTGTAACTATGAATCTGCATACTGTTGGGCAGATGCATTATTTTTAACATTGCGTGCAATTAGGCGTTATTTAAGTTAACATTTTTTAAATTAAAGTAGCGCCATCTAGGCTGCGAACAGCATCAACCTGTTAATACACATTATCGCATAACATATGTTGATGACTTCAGTTATTTTACAGAAACCTAACAGAATTCTGTTAACTGAAAGAACTTACATGACATCCGTTGTGGGGCGCCACAACATCGACAGGCAAGACGAAAATCGCTTATCGACTGCGCGCAATATTTTTAAAATGTTGACCGAAAAATTTATGAAAGTGCCGGGAACTGGTGAAAAATAAACTGTTTCAATAATTATTCCTAACTAATATATGAAAAATAGCAAAAAACTTTGAAACAGTTTGCTTTATATTTAATATTTAAATATTGTTCGCAGTCTTGACTGCTTTGGTTTTACAACAGAAACTTTGAACAAGGCATTTGGTTTTTAATATTCGTTTTCAGTATAGATAATTTTGCGTCAATGAAACTAGTTATTAGAAAATAATGTCTTTATAAAAGAGCGGTAATTCTGTAAAGAAAACACGTTTGCCTTTCTTCCCTTATTTGGCAATAAACTGCAGATAACGACAAGTTAATTGAGCCACAAACTGGATGATAATCCAGCAGCACCCGTTCAGGAACTAATCAGCTTATCGGATGACCAAAGTGCCTCAAATTTCGGGCACAAGCACGGCCGCATTGTCAGCAAGATCAACAATCCAATTATTCTGTTAATTGTCTCACCTTTATGAGCAAATTAAAATCCTGCCCAGAGTCAAATGGACCCAAGTCGCTGGGCAGGACGAAGCCATCGGCTATTGTCCTGCGAGGCGAAAAGGCAGCAGCAATCGCATCAAGAAGTCGTCGCCGCTGATCATTATCTCACAGGACGAGACGCAGGACAATCCAGGGATATGCAGAGACAAAGCTGGCAAGGGAAGAAGGGAATGGGATTGCGACTCAGACTCAGTCGAAAAGGAAAAGCCAAAGACAAACACAAGGCTGGAAACGAAGCGAAGTTTTGAGTGAAAAATTTCACAGTCAAAGGATAATCGGGATTAAATCTTCTTGAAAAGTTAATGTTTACACACGCACCTACCGGTGGCGATGAGCGGAAAAAAAAGATGCAAAAATTATGAAAATATTGTCACAAGTGCACAGCAGCCAGCGCAGAGGAGCGCAAGGATCGCCAGGACGAGGCTGGACCGGAGCGAACAGGACAATTGCAGGCGGCAATCAAAACATGCAATTGTCCGTTTCGTTCCGCCTCGAATCGAACTGCAAAACGAACCGAAAAATCACAAAAAGGACGAAGGACGCTGGACGCAGGACACTGGGCTCTGAGGCCGAACCGTCGTAAGAGGATTTGCGCGTGAAGTAAACACACGAATAGTAGGAGCCCGACTTTCCCAGTCCCGGCCAGGATATACGAGTATGCGATTGAGCACAGCCCGCAGGACGAATGAAAAACCAAATCGAAGATGCACAGCCTGCATAAATAAATAAATAAATAAAATGATTTGAACATTTTTATTTTCGCACACAGAGACACACAGAGAGACGAAACATTATTCTTTGCGTTAAAACAAACAATTTTTTAAAAACCGTTTGTTGCACTCTTATTTACTTTAAATTTATGCGAAAATTAAAAACGTTTTTCGCAAGGATTTCCAGCTGCCAGAATGTTTTCATAGACGAGCCGTACCAAATCGTCCGGACACCCGAGCGGAGCGAACAAAAATATAGATTTCCCCATAAACTGGGGCCACTCAAAGAGTTTTTCATTGCGAATATTCTGCTTCCACTCTAAAATCCATCCGCTTGCCCCTCTTTTCATCGCCAACGTCTCTAGTATGTCGCGTATTTCTCTTACAAATAAACAAAAGTCTTGTTGCAATAACATGGCATGGAATATTTATTAAATAAACATTAGACCAGCAGCCCGAGAGGCAGTTACAACTTTGTATGGAAAAGAGGATGGCAAGGTGATTTATGAATGAATTCATGCGCTGCCTGCGAAGGGTAGTGTACCAAATGCTAAATAGAAAAGAGTTATGGACAAATCAGGTAACGAAATGTGGGCTGCGTTATCTTGGCCGAGATTGGTGGGTATATTGAGCAAGTGGTGCAGATGTTTCTGCTCCTGATTGAATAAAGACTGCCATATGTGACTTCCCGAAGAGTTTAGTTAATCACTATAATAACTTGGTAAATTTTAAACATGATAATTTATGTTAAAAATGATTTTTCATTTTATTTAACTTTAATTTTAAAAGTAAAAGCATTTTTCCAGAAAGGATATTTAATGTCCCAAAAACAATTGTCTTTGAATAGTTCTTTTTTGATAATGGTTAGCACATATTAAAGACGATAACCCCTACTTCTAACACGAATGATTTTCCTTTTTTTTATTTTAAAATTTTTTTCAAATGAAAAACAGCAAATATTTTACTGCAAATTTCTTTTATTTTTTAAAATCTAAATCAAAAAACCTAGTTTCATTTTTTTCTGTTCGTTAAATTAATTATGAGATTCCACAACGGAAAAAATATTTTAAGAGGTAAGATGTCCACCGGATTGACAATTCCTGTGAAAAATTTAAAATTTTCCAAATCATTTGTTTTTATATATGTATTTTTTTTAATTTGTATCTACATTAAATTAACGTTGATATAACATAACGGAAAAAGAATTAAGAATGTTTACCAGGTAAGATGTCCACCGAATGGATGCCTTTATTTTGGATCTTGGTGGTTATGATTCCTGTGAAAGAGATTTTACAGCTTTCGAAATATATATTTTTTCAACCAAAAAACCATTGTCAAACTTTTATTGATTTTATTTAATGCTGGTTTATAAATATTTGAGTTATGTTAAAATTAAACATAAGTTTAACTCCGTCTTAAATTTTATTAGTTCACCTTAATAACAACACTAACACTTGGACATCCCATCGCCGGTCAAATTCTTTTATAATTAACTTTCTGTACAAGTTACTTCCTGGAAGTGTCAGCAAGCAGCTCATTACTTAGGCAAAAGATCCACACCTCGGACACGCTCCCAACTCATCCTGAAGCAGCCTATCAAAAACCCAGCAGCAGCGGTAGCCAGAAACACCCACTTCCCAGCGGGTTGCGGCTTGTAAACCATAAAAATGGAAACCGTAAACCGCAAATAAGCCACAAAAACCGCAGGACACGCGTGAAATCATCATCATCATAATCATCATTACGGGAACGGGGGGAAAAACCGGACACATTGAGCAACAGAGGTCAGGTAGTCCGCATCTCGAGTTCTCTAAATCTTAAGCATCTGGGGGAAAACCCGACGAAAACTCGAGATTTCATTAAGAATTCCCGTGGCGCGCATTAAAGTCTAAACATGCCTAAAAAGTTTCCCCTCTTTTGGCCGATCAATGCCTAAGCATCGATGATTAGCATTAGCATCCGGTGTTGGCCAGGTAGGAATCTCGATTCTGTATTCTGAATTCTGAATTCTGGATTCCGGATTCCGGACTTAGCGCCGTCTGCTGAATTTCCGCTGCTTATGACCGGAAGATTTTCGCCATGATTACGCTTATGATTAAGCTAATGGCGGATATTTCCCAACCCCTTCCCGGGATCGTTGGCGTGTGTGTGTGTTTGTCTGCAACTAATCTGCTAAATTGTCTGGGCAGGAAGAACAGCAAAAAAACAGTCGAGAATATATGCATAATAAGCTCGCAACTGTATACAAATCATAAATTTTAATGAGTGGCCAATATGGACTCCCTTATGCGAACCATAACTGCGGAACCACCCCGAAACTCCCTGTCGAATAACCCAAAAAAAAAAAAAAATGTTTCGGTGGATGGGGGCAAAGTATCTACGAATTTTTTTTGGGTACTGGAAACTGCAGTGTGCGAGGGAGATGGGGTCATACAGTCAGCCATCGCTGCATCTCTTTCTCTGGATAACCACGCCCCCTTCTCAATGCTGCGCAGTCGTTTTTTCGAGTGTATGTGTGAGTCTCCCTTCTCATATTGGCAGAGAAAACGTTGCATATTCATGAGAGAGCAGCCGAGCGTGCGATAGTGTGCGTGTATCTGTGTGTATTTGAGTGTATCTGTGTGAGTTACTTTGGCCTGTGTGTGGGTGCGAGTGCGCATATTTGAAAGATTGAAACTGCTTTATCAGCATTTT